TTATATATATATACACACACACAATTTTTAAGGTATACACACCTATCTTATCTTTAACCCCCAGTTGTCAATTAATTATGAGCATTTAGGTCACACCAAAAAAATCTCTCCCTTTCTTTTATTATTTGGTACGTAATAAGTAGAATCAATATTTTCAACTATTAATACTTTATTAATATTACTTTACAAAAACAAGAGATAAGTCAAAACTGAATTTCTGTACCCGTTTACTATAATAACCCCAACCAGGGCTTCAATTTACGTAGATTTATTAATAAGTTGTGTCTCACGTGTTTAACTTACTATTAAAAATGACCCAAAAATTGGGTATCAAAATATTATTTAACTAAATATTATAGGAAAGATTACAATCGAAGATTACATTAACAATTTGTACTAATTGACAATTAATTCAAAAGTTATTGATAAATTTGACAACCTTAGAACATAAGGTGTTACCAAAATGTTTTTGTTTTTAGGCTCATGTTTGTTTAGACGTAAAATATTTTTCAGAAAATATTTTTTTTATTTTCTGCTTTTTGATTGTCGTAAAATATTTACAAAGAAAAAATATATTAAAATTTAGCAAAAATAATTTATCCATAAATTTTCAGCAATTTATTTTACATGCCCCGCCTGATGGACTCGACCTTAATTTCGACGTAAACCTTTGCCAAATACTGACAAAGTAAAAATAAAAGAATATTTTACCTAAAAAATAAAAATATTTTTCAAAAAAGAATATTTTAGCCTTAATTTTTTATTTTCTAATGTCTGTGATGACTATTATTTTCAAATTGCGCTGGTTTAATTTTATTTTAGTAGTTTTGGATTATTACAAAATTCTCCTAGGCTTTGTTTGGTTTGGTGGAAACAACTAAAAAAGAAAGAAAAGATAAATTTTTTAAATTTTTTTATAATTATGATAAATAGAAAGAGAAATTTAATGGAAAATTTAGTTTCCTGAGTTATTTTCATGTGCTTATTTATTTGTATTTTCTATTTTACCTAGATTAAATTAACTTAATCGTGGAAAGTTATTTCCAAAACAACTTCTATACTAAGGTAATTTCTCTCCAAAATTATTTCTATTCTAATTTCGCAATTATACAATTATAATTTCTATTCCAAATTATACAATTATATACGCAAAATATCAATGATAATTTTGTTAAAATTGCTCAAAATAGATCATGCTTCTAAATATAATTTTTTATTTTTTATAATCGTCTGTTCTACATTGCAATTTTAGCCACTCATAATCCCTTATATATATATATATCTTATATGGTAAAATATTTTATTTTTCTCCCAAATAGGAGTATTGCATCTTCATCTCTAATTTTTTAATTTTTTTTTTTAATTTGTTTATCTTAAACTAATAATTAGTTTTACCTAAGTAAATATTATGAAGCGTTATTCTAAATATAAATAATAAAAATGAATATAAACAATTATATATTTGAATTTAATAATCCATCATTTTATTTTACAAGGGTAATTTTGGTATGCATAATCACTTTTTTTTCACTTTAATGCTATCCAAACTAACAGACTAATATATATATATATATTTCATAATTGAAGTTGTATTGAGCTCAAAAAATAAAACCGGAATACAGGAGCACATAGGGCATACCCTCATAGAACAAAAAGAACAAGAAAAAGTAGGAGTATGTACTTTAATGAATAAGCTCATTTCCAGTATAACAGCACAATACCAAAATAGAGATTACACAATAACATCAATAAAATTAATTCTCTGAACACACTTCCAGCAAGGCAGTCCTTGCCACCACTTAATGGAACCATGAAGTCTATTGTTCCTTTCCCGCCAAATGTACCACATACCTACAGCAAAAAGACTTTGTAACTGTTTTGACTTGTTATATAAATTATCCATCAAATTGAAAAGGTGCCAAGTTGTTAACACATCTTGAAATTTAATGAGATCCCAACCAAGAATCCCACCTAACCATTTCCAGAAAGAAAGGGCAGGAAACAAACACATGATCTGTAGTGTCAAACTCTTTTGACAAAGTGTGCATCTAGAAACCAAACAAACTTTTCTTCTCTGCAAATTACACATGGTAAGAAGCCTATCCAATAACATTAACACAGCTATTGTAGACTATCTTGGCCGAGTCTTCCCCCAACACAATTTGAACCATGGTACAACAGACTAATATTTTTCTTGGATAAATTTTTATAGTAACCAAATGCATGCTATAAAATCTATTTTCTTTTCATTCACTTCACTTTTCTTTCACTTTCCATTACAGAACCTAAAAATGTAAAGAAAATGCTAATGGTAACTGATACGGTTCACCGACCTATCGTCACCATAACACAAGATGAACATTTAATCAGTGTCGGTGCATCAAAAATAAAACGTGACATTATCATTAACCTAATATCATAAAACGTGATGTTCATATAACGGTTACAATAAGAATAACATCATTAACTTAAAACTAATAACCCATGGATTTATTTATTTCTTTTCGGTAGGGTAATAATGGATGAAATTGTTTTTCCATGAGTGATTTAATTTTTCAAACTCAGCATTAAATTTTTTTTTTTTTAAAAATAGAGGATAATTATGATTTGGATATGAACATACGTTACTGTGTCATAATCTAACCGATCTGAGTTGTTCTTTTAACGTGTTTATACTACCAAACTAGCATTGCATATTTATGCCCACCACATAAATAACGTTGCAAAATGGACCACACTATTTTATGGCATAAAGACAACATCATCCCATTTTTAATGTGCAAAACTAGCAATTTTCTTTTCCTATTTTATATTTATTTATTCTCCATTTATGTGATGTGAATGTGTATCTATAAAACGTTTTTTAAGAAAGATAAAATTCATATATGCATATGTGTGTATGTATAATTATAGTCTCAATGATATTGAATTAGTAGGCCAAAAAAAAAGTAGTAGAATCCGACAATTTTGATTGTTTTGACGTGGATAGAATTTGATGTCATGATATATCAGTTCTGGTATGAAGGAAGAAAGACGTGTGGAGAGAAAATAGAAAGGAATAAAGAGGTGTGGAGAGAAAATAGGAAGAATCCGAGATGATATAAGGAAAGAAATGAGAATTGAAAGGATAATGGACGAATGAAAGTGAAAAGACAAGTGAAGATAATAAATTCCTAACAAAAAAACAGAAGAAAATATACAATCTCTCACATAGAAATATATCATCCATCTATTTTTCTTCCTACCAAACAAACATAATATATAATGTCATCATAACATTAACTTTAATTGTTAGATTACATATCCATTTTCTTTATAAACTCTCGTCTTGTGTATTTATTTTCTTGTGGGACGTAAATAAAAAATATTATTAAACATGCTAACAATCTTCTCATTCCTGCTAGTTTATTGTTAAGCCAAAACATAGATAACATTAACTACAATCTTTGGTCTAATTTTTTGAACCCTAACCTAGGATTTTTATTTTTATTTTTTATTATTATTTTTTTTTATAGAATATGTGTCTCGGTCTCACAACACATACACCATTTAAGTCAAAAGTACATTCGAAAACGAGACTTCAAGAACTTACCTCCTAAATCCCTGCTAGTGCTGCTATGCCCATGCATGGAAACAACCCTAACCTAGGTTTAGGTGGGGAGTCAAATAAGATAACAAATTATAAGGCATAATGTTTCTTATCTACAATAGTTTGACATAAGCTTGTTGATTAGAATAAATAAACAAACAGATAAGGCATATAATTGTTTAATTAAGTGAGCAAAACCACGGTGTTAGAGGATAATATAGTTTATCAAGACTAATCAAGTCCGGTTTTAGCATCTAAACAAATAATTAGACGTTTAGGTGAACCATGCTTCCTTTAATCATTAGAAAGGGTCCCCTCTTGGTAAACTACTCTATATAGCCTATATTGTAACCACAACCATATTAAAGTTTCAAATTTATATTAAACAATGTTTATATATATATTTATATATATATATATATATATACACTAATATATTTTTGTGGGGTTCATTTAGCCTCAAAATACAATATTTGTTTTTAATGGATCAATCTTCTTCCCTGATTTTAGAAATAAGGATTGGAATGTCGACTTTATAAATGCACAATCTTTTTATTATATTTCTTGCATTATAACCAATATATATATATATATGCAACCTTTTTTCAAGTTGTTTTATTATATTTCTTGCATTATAACCAATATATATATATATATATTAGGTCGTATGGTCCAATATGTAACCTTTTTTCAAGTTTGATACGTGATTTGCATCAATCAATTTATACTGACTTTGTCCGAATTTATTACACGTTGACCGCAATCGATATCGCGTAATCGATACTGCAAACCATGGGCCGGGGCTAATGTTATGTCGTACAATAATCACTCACATATATAATATGTTCACACTTGTAAAATAATCATAACTGTTAGTCACAATCTTTTTGTAAATGTCAAATTAATCAAATAATTTTAGTAAAGTATAGTTAGAAAGATCTGTACATACCGAACTAATTTATTGTATTTCTTATGTTAAAACTAATATTTATTTATTTATTATTATTTTTAAGATCATTATATAGTTCTGATTTTAAATATTGTAATAGTAATATAATGTACTGGATCATCACGATCACTCACATGTATGATACGAATCATACGATCGGTTTAGTGTAATACAACTAATATTATAGGATGTCAAAAAAAAAAAAAAAAAAAAAAAAAAAATGGAAACACAAAGCTGATAAGGTTAGAATTTAAATAGAAGTAATAACCATGTAAGTAATGAATTTTTTATTTTTCTACTTACCAAAGGAATAATAAATTAATGAATAGAAGTGGGTAAGGTCAATAAAGTAATAAAATCCTAATACAAGGGCATTTGATAATACGACCTTGTAAAAGTCACTAACAAACAATCGAAACGTAATCCGAAACCAGGGTTAAGAAGTAACTACGGTAAGTTCTATCAGACTCATCTCTTACAAATCTCTCTATAAATTTTCTCTCTCTACACTTTCTCATCTCTCTCTCTTCGAAGAAAACTTCTCCGGCCATTTTCAACGCCGTACACCGTCTTGAATTGCCGGTTTATGACCAGAAAACTGTTTTCGATCGCTGGAATCTCGCCGGTGAGTTCACAATAAGCATTATACCTGATCTACTCTTTAATATATTTGTTTTGCGGGCGTGAGTTTTTACTTTGATTCTCTTGTGCTCCCTTTGGTTGCTGAGGAAACGCCCAGAAATGGTAAGAAAATGAAGAACGACTGAAGCATAAGAATGAAAAATTTCTTTCCTTTTCGTCTCCTCAGTTTCCGTAGCAACCATAGCGATTAGAATGATTTGCTATTTTTTGGAAGATGAATTTAATATTTTTAGATTTTATTTTTTATTTCTCTGTGTTAGTTGTCTGAATTTTCAATTTTATTTTATTATTATTATTATTATTTTTATATATAAATATTTTTTTCTTCTTGTACAGGAGGAGGAAATAATCGATCTTAGCTTGGATTATTGGAACAAGTTTTGTCGTTGATTAGTCTGATTTCGTTTTTCAGGTAATTTCTTTCTGTTTTTGTGTTCCAACATTGAGATCTAAAGCATTTTCTGTTGACTAAAGTCATTTTTTTTTACCTATGGTCACAATCATACTTGCCTCTTATTTTGAATTCATTAAAGCTTATAAAAACTTATTTGCTCATTTGTTAGTGTCGATAGTCCTTAACTTTGCCATTTTAAATCTATTATTACTCACCAAATATATATAATAACTCTATAAATTAGTGGGTTCAGCCGCAAAAACTGAAAAGGGAAAAAAAAAAAAAAAAAAAAAAAAAAAACACACACAAAGTTTATGCAGGTTTTGGAAGAAAATTATACTGTTACTTAGTTCAGGTGAGAGTTTTTGGGAATGTGATCTACACTGTAGATAGATTACCAGCACGACCGGCCATTAACGGGTTTAGACTGGGTAACGGCCCTTATATGAACAGTAGATAATTTATCTTTGATGGAGCAAATTGCAATTCATTGGACAGTTTTATTTCATTTTAAAAAGAATGGTTGAAGAAAGGTAAATTCTGCAAGGGAAATGTAGTGTAGTTTCTGCAAGATAATGTAACTTTGTTTCGTATGGTTATGGTTATGGTGAACCTGGTAACAGTATTTGGTTACTTGGTGAATTATTTGTTGCTTTATTTGTTGTTGAAAGAAATATTTGGAGTATTGTCAAGGATTCCACCTCATCCTTGCCTGGCCAAACATGGTCTTTTGTGTATAATTATGTTTTATTTATTTTATTTTATTTTTTTAAGATCAAATTTGGTTCTTTTAGTGAATCTTTGGTTTTTTTTCATGAAATGTAACAATTTATATTTCGATTACTTGATGAATTATTTATTGCTGAAAGAAATGTTGGGAGAATTGTCAAGGATTCCACGCGATACTTGCCTGGCCAAACATGGTATTTTGTTGTATTGGCTAGGTTTATCATTTGATTTTTTTTTTTTTTTTTTCATAATTATTATTTTTCAATTTTCAAATTTGGTTCTTTTCGCGAATCTTTGGTTTTATTTCAAGACATTTAAATTTCATTAGTAAAAGGATGGATAGTTGCTATAACGTTGAAGAAAGGTAAATTCTGCCAGGAAAATCTAGTGTAGTTTCTACCAGATGTAACTCTGTTTTGCATGGTAATGGTGAACCTGGTAACAGTATTTGTTAATTTGTTTTTCAATTACTAGGTGAATTATTTATCACTGAAAGAAATAGTTGGAGTATTGTCAAGGAGTACACTAGATCCTTGTCTTGCCAAACATGGTATTTTGTCGTACTGGCTAGGTATAATTATGTTCTATCCTTTGCTTTTAATTTTAAAGTTTAAATTTATAGCCAAACATGGTATTTTGTCATATTGGCTGGGTATAATTATATGGTTTATCGTTTAATTTTATAAAAATTTTCAAATTTCAAATTTGATTCTTTTCGCGAATCTTTGGTTTTATTTCAAGGCATTTTTATTTCATTATTAAAAGAATGGATAGTTGTAGTCGAGAAAGGTAAATTCTGCAAGGAAAATCTAGTGTAGTTTCTGCAAGGTAATGTAACTCTGTTTTGCACAGTTATGGTGAACCTGGTAACAGTATTTGGAAACTGTTTTTCGATTACTTGGTAAATTAGCTGGAGTCTGGCTGATCCTTGCCTGGCTAAACATGGTATTTTGTCGTATTGGCTACGTATAATTATGGCTTATCCTTTTTGCTTTTTTATTCATTTTAAAGTTCAAATTTATTTCTTTTTGCGAATCTTTGGTTTTTATTTCATGAAATGTGATGACGTCTTTTATTCAACTAAAATGGAATCTGGAAGTCAGTTTCATATGATGGCTTTAAGATAAAACAACCTAGACCAGCACTCAACAGCTCGCAGCAAATCAGTTTCCTTTAAAACTCATTAACTTCATTCCCTTTTAGCAGTTACCGTGGCAGCTCCCCCTTGGCCCTTATATTTATGATTGTTGGGAGCGTTTCATGCATATTGTGTGAGCCTATCTGTATCTACATCCATCTCACACCTCTTTCCCCTCTCCTCCCCTTCCTCCTCCCCCCTCTACTCAAGAATTATGTGTCAGGCTCCTCTCTGATACTCGGTGGGCATAATGAAAAATGTTCAATAGGCCTTTTATAATATATCACGTCTACAAACATTTATTTTGGTTTTTTTGATGATATAGGACATTTAATTCTTATCACCATTTTTCTGAAGTGTTATATTTATAATAATATTTTAAGAAGAGCATGTGAATCTCAATGTTGTAAATTATGCAAGTGTAATGGAAGGGAAACTTGTTTACACTTGATACTTGAGTGGGTGGTTGGGAGCCATTAATTATGTCTCTAGTGCTTGTCATGTTGGTCTGGCTATACATAACATAATTTTTTTGTGAACATGGTGTGTTTACTTGATTATATTAGATACTTGGCCCCTATCTTGTTTGTGTCGATGTCGTGTTGACATTGGCCCCTATCTTGTTTGTGTGAATGTTGTGTTGACATGGCAGTAGATTGTAAATAAGTGTATAGTTAACTTTTATCAACCCATCTTTCCCCTAGACTTTAATGGATGATTACATTCATTCTTATCTCAGATCATTTACCATAATTTTTGCTTATAAATTATATTTGTACAAAGGTCTTTTGAGGAAAGGAGGATGAAAAATTAGCGCTGAGCCCTCCAGCACAGGAACTATTCCTCTCCAAAATATTCATGTGGAATCATGGGTATAGTTGAACTGTCATATGAGCCATATTTTGATGTACAACATTTGGAGTATTACTTTCAGTTGAAGGGCCATTTCTTTGACAAGACTTGGCACATAACTCAAATCTTGTCAAATGGTGCTTAATAATTTATTTTAATGTGATTTTTAGCTGTTTAAGACATTGCAATAAAGATTAGTATTATTATTTAGTTTATTTGAAATTATTGACAATGTATGAACTGGAAGTCAAGTTTGAGTTTTTTCTTTTTTGGCAAATAATTCTGGGGAAACCCTAATTTGAATGTAGGATTGGGAAATCAATGCATTTTGAGAAAAGTAAAGGAGAATGTGTCATCATTGGATTATTTATTTAACTTAAGAACTTCGCATTGGAAAAAAATCTAATTGTAATTTTCAGGAGAAGCAATCATATGATGGGTCAACTTCGTCATATACCACATATAGCCTCCTAATTAGTAATCCAACCATCCTTTGTTAGTATCATTCATGCTGGTGATTTATCAAAGTGGTTCATGCTTTCAGGAACACTTTTTATTATGTGGTGCTAGGTTGAAAAAGCTCATTTAAAGTGATGGAGCATAAACATCACGTATAAGTTTAAAAAAGGTTGGAAGTGTAAATTGGATACAGACCTAAACTAGTGATATAATTTCTAAAAACTGGCTGCTCTCTAGCTTGAAGTTATGTGTGACAAGCCTAAGCATTTTTGCCACTGCATTTAGCAATGGCCAAAGATGGGTATATGACAAATTATCAAGGAATCCTTGTATCAAAGGATTTGTTGTATAATGGAAACATAAGGTTCATATCAACATTTCCGGAGCATGCTTACTGTCATACTATAACCTAGCAATTGAATAAACTTTCAACACCAATGTTTTTAATGCTTCTGTGATTGGTTGAACTAGTCCACAATATATATTGTGCAAAATACGGAGTTATGAATTGGTCATCATACATTTTACATATGTACTTTTTCCCTGTAGGTTCTTGGATATTTGTTTTGCAGCATAACTGAACCTTATCATCATCTGTAAGACTAAATAGACATTCTTTCAACAAGTCATGGCATCAAGATCATGTGCAAACTTTTCAGATTTAGCTTCCGGGGAGCTACTGGATATTCCGCAAACTCCAAGAGTTCTTCCGCGTGTGATGACCGTTCCTGGGATTATCTCTGACTTGGATGGCTATGGCTGTAATGATGGGGATTCTGATGGTGCTTCATCTGCTTGTCGCGAGCGGAAAATTATAGTGGCAAACATGTTACCTTTGCATGCTCAAAGGGATGATGAAACTTCCAAATGGTGCTTTAGTTTGGACAAGGATGCACTTTTTTTACATTTGAAGGATGGTTTTTCACCTGAAACTGAAGTTATATATGTGGGTTGTCTCAAGGTTGAAGTAGATGCCAGTGAAGAGGAAGAAGTTGCTCAGAAACTGCTGGACAATTTCAATTGTGTGCCCACCTTTTTACCCCATGAGCTTCAGAAAAAATTCTATCATGGATTCTGTAAACAGCAATTATGGCCTCTTTTCCATTACATGCTACCCATGTGCCCCGATCATGGTGATCGCTTTGACCGCCCACTTTGGCAGGCCTATGTCTGTGCGAATAAAATATTTGCAGATAAGGTTATGGAAATTATTAATCCTGAGGACGATTATATTTGGATTCATGATTATCATCTCATGGTTCTCCCTACATTTTTGAGGAAGCGGTTTAACCGAGTCAAGCTTGGTTTCTTCCTTCACAGTCCATTCCCTTCATCAGAAATTTACCGAACTCTGCCAGTTAGAGATGAAATTCTGAAAGGATTGTTGAATTGTGATCTAATTGGTTTTCACACATTTGATTATGCTCGTCACTTCCTGTCATGTTGCAGTAGAATGCTGGGCCTGGACTACGAATCTAAACGTGGTCACATTGGGCTTGATTATTTTGGCCGCACAGTGTACATCAAAATCCTGCCTGTAGGTATTCACATGGGTAGACTTGAATCTGTATTAAATCTTCCCTCTACATCAAATAAAGTCAAAGAGATTCAGAAACAGTTTAAAGGGAAAAAGCTGATTCTTGGTATTGATGACATGGACATATTTAAAGGCATCAGCTTGAAACTACTAGCCTTTGAACAGCTCTTGCAGCAGCACCCGGGCTTGCAAGGTGAACTAGTTCTGGTTCAAATAGTTAATCCTGCCAGGAGCACAGGGAAAGATGTCCAAGAAGCAAAGAGGGAGACATATTTAACTGTCACAAGGATTAATGAGGTTTATGGTTCTCCTGAGTACGAGCCAGTGATTCTGATTGATCGTCCGGTTGCTCGTTCCGAAAAGTCTGCCTATTATGCTATGGCAGAATGTTGCATAGTGAATGCCATAAGGGATGGGATGAACTTGGTCCCTTACAAGTATGTAGTTTGCAGGCAGGGCTCCCCACAGATAGATGAAGCTTTGGGTATGAATATGGATTCTCCTCGCACAAGCATGCTTGTTGTGTCTGAGTTTATAGGTTGTTCACCTTCTTTGAGTGGAGCAATCAGGGTTAACCCATGGGATATTGATTCTGTGGCCGAGGCTTTGAATTTGGCAATCTCCATGCGTGATTCCGAGAAGCAACTGCGGCATGAGAAGCACTATCGATATGTTAGTTCTCATGACGTGGCTTACTGGGCTCGCAGCTTTGTGCAAGATTTGGAGAGAGCATGCAAAGATCATTATAGTAAGCGCTGCTGGGGAATTGGTTTAGGTCTTGGTTTTCGAGTTGTCTCACTTTCTCCTAGTTTTAGAAAATTGTCTATTGAACACATAGTCTCAGCTTATAAAAGGACAAATAGAAGGGCAATATTTCTGGACTATGATGGTACTGTTGTTCCCCAAACCTCTATTGTTAAATCACCCAGCCCTGAAGTTATTGCTGTTCTGAATGCTTTGTGTGACGATCCGAAGAACACTGTGTTTATAGTTAGCGGGAGGGGAAGAAGTTCACTGAATGAGTGGCTTGAGCCATGTGAGAGGCTGGGAATAGCTGCTGAACATGGATACTTCACAAGGCAAGTCCGAAACATGTTCTGTATGTTTGTCTCGCCTTTTCAAATGCTTATTTGTGGCCTGAATTTATTTTGCACTTTCTTGTTGCAGATGGAGTAAGACTTCTGACTGGGAGTCCAGTCCCACAACAGACCTTTACTGGAAGGAAATTGTGGAACCTGTGATGAAATTATATACGGAGACAACTGATGGCTCTAACATAGAGACTAAAGAGTGTGCTTTGGTATGGCACCATCAAGATGCAGACCCAGATTTTGGGTCCTGCCAAGCAAAGGAATTGTTGGATCATTTGGAAAATGTCCTTGCAAATGAACCAGCAGTTGTTCGAAGAGGCCAGCATATTGTTGAAGTTATGCCACAAGTATGAACCCCCGACCTTCCAATCTCTCTCTCTCTCTCTCTCTCACACGCGCACATTTGGGTTTGGCGCAATTTTTCTTACCGGTTTCTTACATTGTGCAGGGAATAAGCAAAGGATTAGTTGCGGAGAACGTTCTCTCAACCATGGTCAGTGATGGGAACGCACCAGATTTTGTAATGTGCATTGGAGACGATAGATCTGATGAAGACATGTTCGAGAGCATATTAAGCATGGTTTCTGGTCTCTCTCTGCCTGCTCCTCCACAGATCTTTGCCTGCACAGTTGGACAAAAGCCAAGCAAGGCCAAGTATTATCTTGATGATTCTGCTGACGTCGTGAGATTGCTTAGAGGTCTTGCTGCTGCTTCAAGCCCAAAGCCTAGACATACAGCCCAATTCCAGGTTTCATTTGAGAACGGCTTTTAAGATTGGGCATTAGGAGTGACTGCAGATGTGTACATTGTTCTGCTTTGGGGATTTTCTTTTAATGCCTTATTGGACCTTGACCTTGCAGTTTTGATCCGCTAGCAGTTCATTTTGGCGAGAGGAGAAAGTTACAGTGATGGTGTTGAGATCATAGGAGAAACAGTTTCTGGTGTAGGAAGCGAAGGCGGCGTCTTTGGGGGAAAATTACCTTTTTTTTAGTACAGTTTTGGGGTTGTTGCGATAATGGCTGCCCTTATTGATTAGGAGGCACCATTCTTTTGTATAGGTACAATGTTTTTCTCTCATATATAATGTCATTTTGATTTAAAGTATCTGTTGATCCATTTTAAGTGCTAAATCATATAAATTATGTTGAAGACTATGGTGATCTAGTGTGTCCTTGTAAATAGTAGTGTTCAGCTCTTTGTGCCTGACCGTTTATCTTACCCGAAGGCCTTGCTTGATACCCATTTTCTATGCGGATGACAACTCTAACAACGTGATTTCAGTTTCTGAAGTTAGTGTAGGGGGTGTAAGGGCAAACACAGTGCATGAGGGCTCCATCAGCAATATGGTCAAACTCAGTCTACGAGCAGCAGCATAGGGGCAAATACAGTGCATGAGGGCTCCATCATTGCGGAGGTAAGACTGCAGCAATATGGGCAAACAGAAGTGCACGAGCATTGTAGGGGCAAACACAGTGCAGTGCACGAGGGCTCCATCATTGTGGAGGTAAGATTGCAATATTGGGCAAACCCAGTGCACGAGCAGTGTAGGGGGCAAAAACAGTGCATGAGGGTCATGCGATCATGGAGCCTCGGGAGGATCAGATATATGCTATTTTACACGGTGCACGAGCAGCGTAAGGGCACACACAGTGCATGACGGTTCCATCATTGCAGAGTTAAGACTGCAATATGGGGCAAACTTAGTGCACGAGCAGCGTAGGGGGCAAACACACTTCATGAGGGTCCCATCATTGCGGAGATAAGACAGCAGTACAGGAAAAACCCAGTGCATGAGCATTGTCGGGGGCAAACACTATTCATGAGGGACTGTCATTGCGGAGGTCAAAGTGCATGTGTACGACAGTTCATCATTTCAAAAGTTGAAAAGGATTATATACACGCAGTCTTAAATCTATTGTGAAAATTGAGAGGAATCAGATACGTACAGTCTTAGTTTCGCATGCAAAGAAACTGCTTATTTGCTTCAACTCGACCTTCCAATGGTATGATTTCTTTTTTCTAAGAGGAAAGAAAGTTTTGTCATTTGTTCGGACTTCTGAATAAATGGTTGAAAAAATGGTTTGTGTAGGGGGGTCATCCATCTGTGTGGTTATTTTTAATTGAGAATGTTTCCTTGTGCGCCATGTTTTATTGAATTTTGTTAGCACCACACCTTATTTGTGTTCTATTTATTTAAGCAGATGTGGGGCCCACAGAGATGTGGGTGGACCCCACAGCTGTTTGTGCTTGAGTAGGCAAAGCCTACTAGGCACCCTTGAAAGATGAGGAGCATAGAGACCACAACTTCTTCTGGGCATTTACTGCATAAAAAAGGAAGTTAGGTATAAGTTTATCCTAATCATAGATGTTTCTCTGTCGTGGTGCATCAGAAACAAATGAAGGAAGCTGTTCCCACGTATATTGTTCGTTCATGTGATGTGACAAAGATTGATATCGATTCTATAATTAATGGAATTGGTGGTTCCTTTAATTGTAAAGTGCAGTTACTATTCAATATAGTTGTTTCTCCAAAAAAAAGTAAAATAATTTCAATGGATGGGACACGAAATTGAGTAGATTTACTAGGCGGATCTTAGTGTCTCCCCATTTTATTGAATTGTATGGATGTACTATGTCCATGAAGTGAAAGAAAGAGTAAGATTATATGTATTTGTTACTGTCTTACAATTATTACATTGTCGATTTAAATGCATTAGGTTGCAAATTACATGGTAAAAGACCTTTCTTTAATATTGAGTAAAATCTTTGATGCCATGTTCGGGTATACAATTTTAAATTTAAGACGCCAATTCAATGCTCCCAAAACTAACATAAGTGAATTTGATCTAAAAATAGTATTTTGCCTCAATTCCTTGCTTAGTAAATATTTGTGATCGTTGTGATATATAATTAATGAGGTACCTAGGGACACAACTTTAACGCCCTCTTATAATATGAACTTTCTGTATATATCATTGCAATTAATTAAATCAGAAAAAAAATAATAATAAAATAGGCGTTGTGTCGCTTTCATTGCCCATCCATATTGTCATGGTTTCTACTAGGTCATTGACAAACAAATTTGATGAGAAAGTTTTGATGGTTTAGCTGATTGAAACCCTAAAATTTAGGCCGTCTTTTGGATTGTACTTGTAGGAAAGTAGAGTATAAATTGTATAATGACGTCTAAAACAAGTACATACACACACAAGCTACCATATGGAATTTGGAATTTTTATTCATTATATACAAACTTTTAAAGAAGATGCTACCATCATGCTAAAGCCTAAATCCATTGTTCCTCATTTTAGAGTGGAGTGTGAATTTTAACCGATAAGGGCTTGTTTGGTAATGCATTTTGTATTTGGTGTTTTTGTTTTTGTCAAGTATTATAGCAACGAACAGTGAAAAAATACTTTTCGTAAAAATTGAAACACTAAATTGGTCTTTTTCTATGTTTATCTGCATTATAGGGTTTCGTATCAATGAACAATAATATATATATTTTTACTTTTAAAAAACTCTTGAATGACATTTTTTTTTTTCAAACTTATAACACTTTTTTACCAAATATGTTTTTATGTTTGATTTTAAAAATCTTGCAACAAATAGACGTTACCAAATATGCTTCCTATTATTGTTCAAAACATTTTACAATAAAACACTTATTTTAGTTCAAATTAAAACAAAACAAAGCCCTACAAGTAAGTTTAAGTCTTCTTGAAATAATCAAAATTTCCCAATCATGTTTTTCTCAATTCCATCTGGTGATTGAAGTATTATCACTATTAATAATGAATTTTGCTTTTATAATAGCGCAATATTCATATGCAAACAAATATTAAGCGAATTTTAAAGGGTTAAATACAAAAAAACCTTTGATATATAAGATTTGTGCAGAACTAGTCCATACTTTTTTAAAATGTGTATTTTAGTCCATAAAATTCAAAAAATGTACAAATAAGTCATTCTCACTACTTTTTGACAAAAATTAAATATAAATATCCTATTTTACCCTTTTGATTTCCATTTTGCCCCTCACCCTATTTTACCCTTTTTTGATTCCTAATTTGCCCCTCCTCCCTCTCTCTTCTCCCTTTTTTCTCTAGGGTTAGTCCTCCTTCCGGGTACTGCAATATATTAAAAACCACTTCATCTTGAATGTAAACAAGTACTGTGACAACCATCAAAGTCCCTATGCTAATGAAGAAGAAGAACCTGTTAAATAAATAGGCCATTTGGGCCTTTTCCTTTTCCTTTTCATCACCCGAAACCTGAAACACTTGATTTTAGACCACCAGTCGCTAATGCTATAAGATATAAAGATATATACAGAATTCCCATCTGAAACATATATATATATATATATTAATCTCATGAAGGGAATGTATAGAAATTCAACGGATCTGGATTCTGGCATAATCCATGATAATTGGAATAAATAATAATTTCAAATGTTATATTAAAAATTATTTAGAAAATTCATGTTAATTGTCCAACACAGTTTGATGTAAGGCTCGAACAATTATTTGGCTAGAATTGTACAACACAACCAATGGGGATCACGAGATTTCCTTCTTACTCGTCCAGATGGTGTAGTTGCCATTGATTGTAAGTTGAATGCTCTGTAGTTGATATATATATATATATATATATATATATATATATATATATATATTCGGAAGCCAGGGAAGGTCGATACGAACCAGTCCTTATAGAAGGAGAGCACTCATCTTGTTCACTAGTTTTTGAGAAAGATTGTCAACATATTTTGAGAATGAGCCAGAGCAAAACTAAAACACCCACATCAGATACTGATTCAAAGAGGCGAAATATCAAACACCCAGAAGAGATTACAACTTTTCTTCATTTGGTTCGTCTCAGATATCAACAATCCAATTGTGAAAATATGAGCCTTTTCGTGATGAAATTCAATTCCATTCCATTTCAAAATCATCTCGTTTGATTACCACTTTTCTTCATCTGGGTTCGTATCGTTTGATTTGGGACCCTTTTTTTTTTTTTTATCTGGGTTTGATTATGATTACAGACCCCAAACAAAAAGCTCTGTAACAAACAACCAGAGAAAATTCAACGCCGGCGACCAGAGAGAGCTTCACAACGGCGACCAGAGAATGAATATTACGACAACGATGCAACAAGAGGCAGCAACGATGAGCATCTATTAGTGGCGTGACTGAATCGGCGAGCAAAGAGAACTGAACCAGCAACTACTCCGGCGAAAACGATTTGACGATGACTGTAAGGATGTCACGATTCCGGCGAAGGTACGGTGGTGGTGACGTTGACGATGGCCAGAGAAGATTTCGGCAGAGGCAGCGACAGAATATTCCTGGGACAACACAACAGGAGGCAGCAGTGACGAGGGTAGCGAACGACAAATACTCCGGCAGAACTCGTCGGCGAGAAATGATCTGCAATTTCGGTGAAGGTGAAGGCACGGTGGCGGCGAACAGTGGGTCTGGGGTTTGAATTGACGCTCCGATCAGTTTGTTGCAGAGGGTGATTGTGGTCGCACTAGGCGGTGATGGGTGGTGGTAATGGAGGCAGGGAAATATTTGGGTTTAGTTTTAATTATATTTAAGTTTAGGTTATTTTTATTTTATACAATTTGACATTTATTTCATTCTTATGCTAAACAAACATAATTTTATATTAATTTAAATAAAAAAAATTATTTTACGTAAATATTTATAATTATTAATATATTTAATTGGAGTGAAAATATTACTGTCATTTTACATATTTGTATCAAATTAATAATATAAATGAATTTTTTATCACAGACCAACAAACACTATGTTAATAATATAAAAAATTTTTGTACACTCAACCCAATTTTAAAACAAGTAAAATTTAACATTATATGGTAGCGAAATTCACTATTATTAGTGATGACCTTAATTAGGTAGATAGAATCACAAAATATGTGGCTGGACAAGATTTTGATCTTAAAGATAGTTTAGAGGTCTAACGTACTTTTACTGAATTCATTTGAATATTATTGGTATAATTGACGGAATAATGTTTGAAAATATCTAAAGTAGGTGAAATAAATAATGAAGTGAGACCAGTCCTACTAATTTAAAACTCAGGTGTGAAAAAACAACATATTTTTACAGGTTGTCATTAATTATGAAAACCATTCTTGTATATATATATATATATCCTCACACACACACATTTATAATCTCAGCATACGATTCTCTGCTTTTTCACCTTCTTTTATCGGTTGTCTCTATCTTTCCTCTCACCATCTCACGCTCGCTCAAAAACCCAACGGCCTTTTAAAGAAAACCCCAAAACCCATAAAACCACTTTCTCACTAATCCTCCTTTCAAATATTCCCAAACCTTTGCGTCTACCATATGAACTAGGGTTTCATATACAATGAAGAGCTGAATCTTGACTCCTTAGCTTTTCTCGTAGAAAATGGGCGTCATGGGTAAGAATGTGTTTGTGTTTCTTCTCGCCTTTGCGGTTCTCTTCGCTGGGTTTCCATCATCTTCAGCTTCTTACCCTGCAAGTGAGTGTACATATATATCTATACAAATATATGCTTTAAGTGTCTCCTTTTGATGTGCTTTTGCTTTTGATCTTAAATTTTTCTCTGATTACTGTATTTATACATTTTTTAATGCAGAATTTGTTAATGGGTTTCTCTCAAATACTTTCTCTGTTCTGATGAAATGGGTGTGGTCACTCAAAGCTACAACCAAAACAGGTATGGATAGATCTATGATATTCTGATAGAACCGACATTGGCTCTGTTTATTTTTCTTTTTTTCTTTCTATTTTTTGTTATTGGGTTCATTTATCTTGAATAGTGGAGTTCTTGAAATTTTGTGTTTCAGCAATTACTGGCCGTCCGATGATGAAGTTTGAGAGTGGGTACGCTGTTGAGACAGTGTTTGATGGAAGTAAGCTTGGGATTGAACCCTTTTCTGTTGAGATCTTGTCCAGTGGGGAGCTTCTGGTTCTGGACTCTGCTAACAGTAACCTCTACAAGATCTCTTCCTCTTTATCTCAATGTAAGTGGGTTTTTGTTGTAATGACTTGGAATTATATTGGGTTAGTCTTGTTTTGTGGAATTTCTGTTATTAATTTCTTCAAGTCTTAACTCAATTGTAGTTTTTTTTTTCCACCCTCTTCTCTGGTTGAGTAATTGTCAGAAATTTATTAGGTTTTGAATGGTTTGTCCAGGATCACAACCTCAGCTACTAAAAATGATTTGGGTTTTTTCATTAGGGTTTTGTGTGTTTGGCCTCATAAATGTATGTTCTATGACCTCCTGTCTTATCTACATCATGTTTAGTAATGTGAAAGAAACTCATTCTTATGAATTTATGCACTTGGGAGGTCTCAGGTTTGCTTTTACTAGTAATGGATTCCTTCAATTAATTTTCACAGGCACCTTATTCTGTTCCTTTTGTGTGTGTGTGTGTGAAAATTACCCTTGATGGAGCCAACATTGCGTTTAAGGTTGAGCTGCTTAGCCGCTGTACGAAGTTTTAGTCCATTTTCCATTGTTGTTGTGGGGCTACTATACTACAGCTCTTACACACTTGGCTGGAAGTGTGATTTACCTGCCTAAACTAATGTTAAACAAATGGCATCTTGGATGTTGAATGTCTCCTGACCCTCTTGTAGCATTTTATTTTTTATGTGAAAGCTTGATTTCTCCCTTTGTAAAGCTCGTGCTGGTAGCCGATACTTGTGTTCTATTAAAGTTCTGCTACTGTTACATTCCATTCTGATAATTGTTTTCTTCTATTCAAAATTTACCTGTTAGTCTGTGTTTGCATGTGTTGTGTCTTTTGAACTGAATTTTTTTCAATATTATGGGAAAACGTCAGACACTAGACCGAAGCTGGTTGCTGGATCTGCCGATGGATACGCTGGATATGTAGACGGGAAAGTCAGAGAGGCAAGGATGAACCATCCAAAGGGGCTTACAGTAGATGATAAAGGAAACATTTACATCGCAGACACCATGAATATGGCAATCCGGAAGATAAGTGATGCAGGTAAATGGAACTTGTGTCTTGTTTAAGTTTGCACGACCAGAAGATTTTTCTTCACCATGGTCTTGTCTTATAGAACTTTATTTTAGTCCTTGTTCTTCAATTTACTGTATATTAAATTTCTTGGCGACTTCACTACAATCTTAGCTGCCAATTCTTATATTTGAAAGCACGTAATAAGGATATTTTGTGACCATCTTACCTTTTGTTATTTTTATTTTTTCCTTCTGGAGCATGATAGGCCTATTTGCAAGTGTTTGTCTATGATTGCTTCTACGCTGGAGTGTTTGTCTATGATTCAAGTCATTTGCAAGAATATGTCAACTGCTAGAGGGGTTGATTTTTATTGTGTTGTGCAGGGGTTACAACAATTGCAGGAGGCAAATGGGGCCGTGGAGGGGCCCATGTAGACGGACCGAGTGAGGATGCAAAATTTTCAAATGATTTTGATGTGGTATACATTGGAAGCAGTTGTTCCCTTCTTGTCATAGACAGAGGAAGCCAGGCAATCCGGGAGATCCAACTCCATTTCGATGACTGTGCTTATCAATACGGAAGTGGTTTCCCTCTTGGTAAACTACTTGCCCAATTTTTATCTTTTTATTTTTGTCAATCTCACTATTTATGAGAATTTCAGACATCAATGCAGGAATTGCAGTTCTTGTAGCAGCTGGCTTCTTTGGTTACATGATGGCATTGCTGCAACGCAGGGTCGGTACCATTGTGTCTTCTCAAAATGTGAGTTTTCTTGCTCTCACCTTATGATTATCCATGAATGTGTATTACACACACCCGCGTGCGCGCGCGCACACACACACACAGATACTACTAGTGTGTTCATAGCGGAAGAGAACATTCTGAAATGAAGGGTATCAAAACCATTTATGTTCAGTGAGAACTTACTTTCTAGAACATGGGGTGGCTATATTTCACTATTAATCTCCTATTATGCATTTTTTACTAACTATAGCAACTTTAAAATAAAGGGTGGTTGGTATATACTTTTTTTGTTTTTTTTTTGTTTTTCTGTTTTTTTCATCGACTGTGGTGGTGCAGGGAAAGTTCCCTCCGAACAGCCTTATGTTCCCTCTGAACCATAAAAAGATAAAACAAGTTTTCAGTATTTTTTTTTCAGCAACATGAATTTTTTTTTTTCCCTTCCATCTTTTGCTCGTTTAGGACCAGAGACCAATGACAACAAGCATACCACCAATTCATTATCAGAAGCCTCTGAAATCATCAGTGAGGCCACCATTAATCCCTACTGAAGATGACCAGGAAAAGCAAGAAGAAGGCTTCTTTGTATCTCTTGGGAAGCTTCTTGTTAACACTGGGGGATCAGTAGCAGAACTTTTCGGAGGAATATTTCCAGGGTTAAGGAAAAAGCCACCGAACTATGAATATCAGCTTCAACAGCAATACCAGCAACCGCAGAGATATTCGAATGCTTGGCCAGTGCAAGAGAGCTTTGTGATACCAGATGAAGACGAGCCCCCCTCCATTGAGACAAGGACCCCTACCCCAAGGAAAACTTACCCATTCATGTCCAAGGATGCTGAGAAAATGCAACAGCTCAGGCAAAGCCGTGCTTTCTATAGTGGGTGGGATGGAAGCTCTCAGCCGCAACAGCAAACGCAGAAAGAGCAGCATCAACATCAGCATTATTCATCCACCCCGGAAACTTACTATGAGCAAAGTTGCGAGAAAACCAATGAGATTGTGTTTGGGGCAGTTCAGGAGCAGGACAAGCGGCGTGAAACTGTGATAATCAAGCCTTTGGATCATGGGAATCCAGTTTATGATCGTCATAATATTCGAGTCCGGACCAACTCTATGAGTTATACTCGGGGGCATTGATCATATATATATATATATATATATATATATATATATATACATAAAAGAGAAACCTTATTCTGTCTTGATATTCTCCTTTAAAATTTATTTAGAAAATATTACAGCTTGTAAGAAAATATTAGTTTCAAGTAGGGAGTGTTTGTGGAGAGCAGCTTTGTTACTTTGTATTGTTTACTCCCTTGCTGGCAAAAACATTGTAGTCTTAAAGGAAAGTTGCAGTAATATAAAACTGGATCTATAATTGGTGGGATGTTCTTCTATTCCAATGCTTGTCAAATGTCAAAGAAGATTTTTTTTGTGTGTGTTTTCTTGGCAATCATACAGGATGAAAAGGTAACAACAATTATTATTGTACTTACAGCAGCTATCAAATAGACAATTGCCCCTCTCTCTCTCTCTCTATATATATATATATATATTATTTGCTAGATTGGATGCAGTTTTTTTTTTTTTGGGAAGTGATTAGACTCAATTGCTATTTGCTAATTCATGATCTTAGCACCTCCTAACCCAAAAATCATTCTGGACCAACTATATGACATTTAACATATACTTGATCTAGGATTGTATGTTCTCACACTTCCAGAAGAATTGTTAATTATCAAGAATGAACCGAAATTCAATCAATTTTTTCTTTCTAAATATGGGGGTCAAATGTAGCATCACATGCATCCATAGAGGAAAAAATTGGTTCAGTCTGTTAACCTTTACAACTTGCTGAGAATACTGTGTGCGTGTGGAGAGAGAGTTAATCCTCTCCAGGACACCGAGCTTTCAAGTGCACACTTGAATGGTTGCATGTGCATGTGTGTTCTTGCAATAATATGTTATATAGTTGCAATATGCAAAAAGAACCCAAATACAAATTTAAAAAAAGAATAAAAAAAAAACGAAGAAAAAAAGCAGAAGTTAAAAAACATAACATTCCACAATGTCATTGCACAGATGCATTTTTTCTGGTTCAGATTCTGGTATTTAAGAGCCTATACTGTGCAGTGGATTGAGCCAAATTGGCCTAGCCGACGGTGTTTGACAACCGAGATAGATTTTAAATCATCAAAACATAGTAACAGGTTGTAGATCATCCAGCAGAATCAACAATCTAGAAAACAATTTTACACAGCCGAGTGAAGGAGCAAAGGAAATCAAAAGGAGAGACACAATGTAAGCATTCAACCCTTCATGTCAGTTGCAGTGGTAGCAATGTTTAAACATTTACGACGCTTAAACGAAGTAGAAAAGGAAATGTTTCATGGAAAGGGCCTACATAAATACTTTCATCTCCTCTTAACTAGACCTGAACTGCTAACCAAATACTCCTCTACAGGAGTTGTTTTCTTAGACTGCCCTGCAAAACACGTGATGTTAGCTTGGATCATATTATCTATCCTTCCACGGCTGTCGGATAGCACGTCTGTCCTATCTTCATCCGCATCTCCTTGCTCGAATGTTTTTTTAGTAATGTCTGACAGTTCCAGGCCTCCATCCAGACACATCAAATCCTTTAATTGGTCAGGAAAATTCTGCAACTTCGGAATCTCACTGCAGCTCAATTGATCAGTATCTAGCAAGGATACAGTTTCCTCACGTGGAGTTTGGGGTTCTACTACATTGATCCTAAACATGAGATAGAGATGAGATAAGCTCAGCATAATGAGCCTCCTTAAAAGGTTGTACAATTTCGAGCTAACAACTACGCTTCTGATGCCGAAGCAGAACATCAGTATTTCCCTCTCCAGACCGATTAGGCAATGCCTCCATGTCTTGCTGAGAGAAACGGCGCTGGAGCCTTCCTGTCTATAAAGTTTGGTTAGACATGAGTGAGACTTCAGTTCTATCACAGGAATCACAATAAATACAGGAGATGCTTACATGAGGGATTACATAAGGACGAATTGCAAACCCAATAACTAAGCCAAGTAAACAAGAAGCTCCCAGACACAGAGTCCAAGCAAGCCAAGCCCCGCCCATTCCTAGTAGAGGAAAAAACATAAACAATATATTACCCTCTTTTCAGGTGATGACAAACTAACATTTTGAACAGATAGACAAAGATATTTCTATTCCAAGGTAAGTAGATTTTCTTCAAGAGAAAACAGGGGAGGAAAAAAAAAAACTTTCTATTTAAATACTGACATTAGCATGCACATTTCTATTGAGAAAAAGAGAGAGAGCATAAGAATATTGTTGCTGTACAATAATACTTGATCACAGTGAAACAAACCAAAAGGCAGAATTGAAGCAAATTAGTTTCCTAACAATAGTCAGCTGAGTTATGCAATGTAAACATATTAAATTGAAACCGTAGTATATATAATGGACATGTTGACAAGTGGTCGCCATTAACATAGATGCTACCCACTCAACTGAAAGAAATAAGGAACCGACAGCAGTTGTGAGAACAATCCGAGCATCTCCAATGCAATGCTATATGGGTTGCCATTTCTAAAATATAGCAGGAGATGGTAAAAATGGGCTTTCCAATGCAATGCTATATGGGCTGCCAAATTTTAACTTTGCCAAAATTTATGCCAATTGTAGCACAAGAAATAGCTACTGCTATTTCATAAAAAGAGAACGACAGAGAGAGAGGGAGGAGGGAGAGCGCGCCCGCGGCGGGGGGGGGGGGGGTTTGATTTTTTGAACAATCTGAAATGATATGCCGATATGGGTTCAGATATATATATATTTAAAAAAGATCATAAAAAATTTCACCAAATAGGATTTAGTTTGCAAAACAAGAATTACAGACCTTGATTAGTTGATTTAGAAAAAAAATTAAAACAAAACCAATACGTACAAGTTAGCAGTTGCAGAGAGAGAGAGAGGGGCAAGCTTGAGAGTTGAGAGACAGCAGCTGAAGTTTGCGAACGGCGAACCCAAACTGGAATAGCGGGCGATGGAAACTGAAAGATATGGGTTTTGAACTTCTGATTCTTGTTGATTTTGTAGTTTGCAGTTGCACAGAGAGAGAGAGAGAGAGGGTAATTTCAGAGTTGAGAACGAGAATAGAGATGGGGCGATTGGGGAGGCTGAAATGGTTTGCCCTAAAAATATATATATTTTTAATAATAATATAATCAAATATATATAATATACATATATATATATATATATAATATAAAATTCCGAAAAAGAAAAAATTTATATAATAATATAATCAAATATATAAATTTATACATATATATATATATATATATATATATTTTTTTTTTTTTTGGTTCTTTTTTGGCCAGATATTTTAGATTTTTGCTTCTTTATAATTATGTTTAATTTTAGTTTTCTTCTAATGTCTACAACTTGACTTGGAATGTGCCTAATATTAATATTACTGATGCAAATATGAATGGTGGGAATGGTAGTTGAAAAAGAATGGTGGTTGTGTCAAAAAATAGCATTTTGCATTAAATGCACCATTGGGGCATAATTGTTAAAATGCAGCATTTTGACACTGTAGCACTTGTCAAAATATAGATTTGGTATGCAAAAATAGCTTTTAGCATTGGAGATGGCCAAAGTGCCTAAAACTATATAAGCCAATAATGTATTTTTTACGAAGGGTATACATGGCTTAAAACTATATAAACTAAAAGCCAAACACTGAATAACAAAGGATAGAAATTTGAAGAATAATAATGTGAAGAATCAAAGATGCTAAAAAAATAGTATACTGTAAAACAATACATCTGTATTTTTGCTTTCAGATTTTTTTTTTTTTTTTCTTTGAAAAGTATTTTTGCTTTCAGAATTCACAAGTACTACAATTTAAAAACTACAAAGCTGTAACTTAAATCAAAACATTGAAGAGAGTACAGAGTTGAAGAAAAAAGGGTTAATTGTATATATATCAACATTTTCTGAAGAGAGTACAGAGTTGAAGAACCTCTTCTGTAATAATGATGAGGATAATATAACATCATGTAAAATAATAAAAACAATAGTAACAATAATAATAATTTTTTTTTTTCATAGTTGGTACTCACACACACATGCCTCTACTGAGGCTTGAACTCTTGACCTCACTTTGAGAAGTAAGGGTCTGATATCGCTAGGCCACTGGCCGTTGGTCAATTATAATAATATAATGACACAAAATAATTACACAACTATTTTGTTATAATTTCAAAAGCTTACCAGATTGAGAACCTTTAGCACAATCCTCCAACTTCAGATTAATTTGGCGTACCAATTTATTACCGTGATCAGATAACATCAACGCGCATCTTTCAGGAACAAAAGTCAGCTCAAAATCATCTGAAAATGTTGCATTTTGTCCAGGTCCATCCACATGGCCTGGCTTTTCTGAATAACTCCCAGCAATTGTGGTCACACCTATGTTTTTGTGGTTGATAAAAGAGGAGTTTAACAGTTAAACACAATCCTAAAGGGAGACAAATAGCATCCCTTCATAGAACTAATGCAAATTAAACTCAGAACAAATTTCAATAAATTATGATGCAATGATCGGCTACTTCTGATTGATGCAGTTCTATGGAAAATTGCTCTTCAACTGATGACATAGATGCCGATTGTAATGTGCAAGATGTCTATAAAACAAATGGCTTGACAAGAATAAACTGCAAGGCATTTCGGAAGGAGTGCTATCAATCCCCTAAATGAGCTAGAAATACAGTCAATAAAAACGTGTAATTTTTTTTGATAAATTAAAAATGTGTAGTTTTCATTGAAATATATTGTTAGTATCTTTAATGATGTTGATTGTTGAAGTATTTAAATATTAAAGTTACATTCTCTCTAATAGCTTAAACTTTTAGAGTAGATGGTGGTTAACATGGTATCAGAGAAGGCAAGGTCCTGAGTTCGAGCCTCACTGTCACCCTAATAGTCAAAATTGAAACACGTGTTGGACCAAAAGAAAGCCACACGTGAGGGGGTGTGTTGAAGGACTTAAACATTAAAGCTAAACCCTCTCTAATAGCTTAAGCTTTTAGAGTAGATGATGGTTAACAATGATGATTTGAGGAAAATATGTAAAGAAAAAATGCATTAATGTATAAAAAACTACTAGGAAAACACATACATAAGACATGTTTTCAGTTATATTGTATGGATTTGCATGTATTAATACCAGAATGTGTTTCATAAAAAACTTGCTTAAGAGGGGAGAGAATCCAATATGAATTTACCAAAACCTTGTTGGCTATACATACTTGTCATCATTTTATTTTATATAGAATGATAACTACATCTCCATTTTGGACCAATATTAATTAGCCAACGTTCTTTTTGGTTTTTCCTTCACTCCTTAATTAAATATCATCAACAATATTCACTATCACGGACCTTCTTAGCCATCTATCCCTTGTCTTGTCCTCTAATATATCTAATACATGAAAAATGCAATAACTTCTAACTGATTACTTGGTATTCCTTATCTTACCACTCATCATCTTAACATTCACATACCAACTATACTTATTTAGTCATGTTAATATTTACAGAAATTTTGCCTTCTATATACCTTCGATTCTACACCTATAAGGAATGACCATATCAGTTGAGGTTTGAAGGACTGGAAGCCTATGTTTTGAAGTAGAATAGCGCAAGGCCTGTGATCTAGACCTAGAAGAGAGAGGGTGGGGATTAAAATAACTACCAACTAACAATACCAATCAATCCATCACACAGTCAATCACATAAGCAGTACACATCTCTAACTTAGTATTCACCACAACACATGCCTTATTTGCTGTAATATTGAATCAATAAAAAAATACACAATATGATCCCACTGATTCTGAAGGTGCCGAGTTCATTAATAAGTTAATAACCAACACAATGTAAAACATAAAACACAATCAAAAGTTATGCATGTACAAACACACACAATTTTTACCTGAATTGCTGATCTTTCGCACAGTATGATTGTTCTTCTCAGCAACATAAACATTCCCTTTCAGATCAACAGCAAAACTTTTTGGCTTGTTGAACCTGGCAGAGCCCGTATCACCATCCAAAACCCCCTTGCCATTACCAGCAATCCGTTTGATCACACTCTCTGCAAATACAAAACATACACATTTATTTAAAACATACTGATGACACTCTCCGCAAATATAAGAGATACGCAACATACATATACATTTATCTATCACATATTGATCACACTCTCCGCAAATATAAGAGATACGCAATATACATATACATTTATCTATCACATATTGATCACACTCTCTGCAAATATAAGAGATACGCAACATACATATACATTTATCTATCACATATTGATCATACTCTCTGCAAATATAAAATATACACAACATACATATACATTTATCTATCACGTATTGATCCTACTCTCTGCAACTATAAAATATACACAACATACATATACATTTATCTATCACATTTTGATCACACTCTCTGCAAATATAAAATTTACACAACATATATATACACACACACAAACACAAACACACACACACACACACACATATATATATATATATATATATATATATATATATATATATCACATTTTGATCCCACTCTCTGCAAATATACAATATATAACACTGGATATTGTTGCTGCAGAGAGTGAGGACACAGGTTCAGATTACCATACAGCTGCAAAAATATATAATACATATATATATATATAAACCCTAACCCTAAAGGGGCTATAACCCACTGTAGATTGAAAAATTATGGGGAGAGTACCTTGTGACGAGGGAAATGATACGGTGTAAAAAGCACTTCCTGATGAATCGAGGACGATGAGATCGGACGATCCAGGTCGAGGGAGGACTGAGTGAGGGTTTATCCTTAGCTTGTTGCCGTCGAGTACTGTAGTCACCGAGTAACCTTCTTCGAAGACGAGATCCGCAGAAACTGAGAAATACATGAAAATTGAGGGGATTTTAGGAAAAATTTCAGTGTAATACAGCTCTGAAAAAGAGGAAATAGAGACAGGAGGGTAATAGTAGTAGTTGATTTACCGAGAAGTGAAGCAAGGTTGAAGACGAGGAAGAGAGAGAGTGAGGTGGAGTGAGAAGCCATGATCGCCAAACTGTAACTCTTCGCAAAATTGATCAAATTGTGCTACCACAAAGCACACTTTACTCTCGTTGACACCTTCTTTTTTTCATCCATCCACTGCGTATTTTAGACGGTAAACCCGTTAGGAACACTCATTAGGCTAGGTTAGAAATTAGAGCCTTCAAATTAAAATTGATAAAAAATAATTCACAAAATTAAATTAAGTGATTTTTTTTTTTTTTTTTTTTTTTTTTTTTTTTTTTGTGAATTTCACGAATTTACAACCGAACACAGCTAAGATAGGTTAAATGTGCGTGAATTGGGGACACCACATGATACCCGTAGTTGACCACTTAATAATTCACAATTTTTATTTTATTTTATTTCTTAAATGGAGGAAATTTTTTTTATAAATATAAACAATAAATACAAGAGATACATGGGACACAGCCTAATCAAGGCATATCAAGTCATAAAACAAAACATTTACAGACAAACCTCTAGATGAAAAACTAATGAAGAGCTGAAATAACATCTTGGAGGCATAACCCCAAGATGTCCATTACTTCCCACAAAATACTCTTTAGCCACTTTAACTGGATAAGCAAAAGTTCCATTGTACATTCTGTCATTCATTTCTTTACAAAGAGAATACAATGTGGTAGTGAACAACATCTTAAAAAGCTTTGTTCTCTGAGATTTAATCTTAAACTGCACTGTAAAATCCAAAGCCATATCTCAGATTGAAGTATATGACTTTAACCTCCAATGACAAAGGTCTGCCAAAGATCCCCAAACCTTCCAAGCAAACTCACAACAGCAGAAGATACGGTCCCTATCATCCACACCCTTACAACAGAATATACATCTCGAAGCTAAGGAATAACCTTTTCCCTACAAGTAAGTATTTGTGAGCACTGAATTCTGCAACACCAGAACAACAAAGGTAGACCATCAGTGTCTACCACCATTCCAACAGAGATTACACCAGTTCACCTCCTGCTTTCTCATTCAATAAACATTCCATGCTGATTTAAAGGTAAATTGTGAACCTTGTCAAGAGATTTTATCCTCCCCACCATGAATAATCTACTGAAGTATGTCCTGCTGCATAACCAGTGGAAACTTATTTACATCCCACTGACCTTAAAAAATAAAATCACCGATGAATCTGTTCTTATCTCTATTCAGATGATGTGACCCCCTATGACAATATAAATCTGATAAAAATTTTCCATCACACCAAGGATCAAGAATTTTTTTTATTCCATTGCCATCACCAATAGCATATCTGGTATGAAGTTTCAGAATATCCCTCATTGCCACAATACTCTTCCACAATGATGAAGAAGAATCCTTTGGAATCACCTTCCAAAATGAAGAATTCTGTAAATAATAATTCTTGTACCAGGCCACTCAAATCCTATCTTTTGATAATAAGAAATCCCATGCTAAAACACATTTAGAAGTAAGGTCAATATCATGTACTCTCCTCAATCCCATCCCTCCTTCTTTAGGAGCAACTAGCTTTTTTTAGTTTAAACCATGCATTTTCCTAATGGAATCATTATGCCCTCATATGAAATTCCTCATTATCTTTTCAATAAGATTAATGACAGCAGCTGGGAGAGTATAAACTGATGTCCAATACAGAATTAAAGGAGTAACCACTGCTTTGCATAGTTCCACTTTACCAGCCATTGAAATATGCAACCCATTCCATCTAGTTGTTGAAGCATTAATTTTATCCAGAAGCTTAGAAAAGTCTCCCCTCCAAAGCATTCTATCTGAAGTAGGTAGGCCAAGATAGGTAAAAAAACAGCTGACCCTCTGTAATACCCCTTGATTCTAGAGTCACGGGTGATCAAGTCCGAGCACAGATTCGAGGGATACCAAACAATTAAGTATATAAACAAGCATTGAGTACCAAAAAGAATTTAAGAATAAATAATTAAGCTGAAAAAAATCTAAATAATAATCCTGGAAATACTAATTAAATAAACCAATAATTCCAAAACCTCCAATATTATTACAACTCGGGAATCCATCTAATGGACCCCTAATAATATCCCAACTGGAAAATAAATAACTGAACTGAAAGAAAATCCAAAACTAAAACATGAAGCGAAGTCTTACATAGTCAGAAGAGTGAGTGACTGTTTTGCTCGGCACGAACAAGCTCTATGTCTGGAACTGTCGAACACCTGAAAAATAATAGTGGGTCAGGCCCACGAACAAGTTCTACTCTACTACAATCCAAACAGAGACCCTATACGCATGTACATCCTAGACAACTCAATAATAACTATATAGTCCATATAAATATATACACACACTAAGGGACTCTCATTGGATTACAAGGCGGTATCAACCTGACTAGTAGGCAATATGCAAAACATACCTGAAGTGGGCATGAGTAACTAAACCTAACAGGGTACACCTCTACCCATCATAGCCAGTTATGCATCCCACTGCATATACGCTCCCTAACCATCGATCCTGATATTCAAGTTCATATCATTATACCATAATCATAGATATATAAATCCATCCAAAACCAAGGTAATGTCATTCAATTACTCGTTGACCTGACACAAATTATAAGTAGGACTTAACATTATAGTTAATCCATTCCCTTATTCCAGAATAGTTAGGACTTAGCGTTTTGAGTTAATTCGTCCCTAATATGCCACCGTCCCATACCGATGCATATAATCCACAAATCCAATAATTGATGAAATAGATAATAAATTTAAACATCAATTAATCCATAACAAGCATAATAAAAATATGTAAAATAATATGATTATATTATGCCACCGATACATAATTAAAAATTGTATAATCATACATAAAAAATTGCTAAAGTAACGATAAACAATTTAAATCATTCAAATCCAGTAACAACATGCAAATTTGTTTAAAAACTCATATTGTTCAAATTCCTAGCATTATAGAGTTTATCATGCATTCTAGGATTTTAACTTGTCCTTAAAAATTATTCAAATCCCCCATAGAAGTTCCTAATTAAATCTGGAACCTCAAAACCCAAATACAGTAACCAAAAACTCGATAAAAACATTAAAAAACAAAAATTCAGGAAGGGAGTCGCCTCCTTCCCTTATGGAGCCGGCTCACTTTGTTAGGGAGCCACCTCCCTTTAACCTAGGGCCGGCTCCCTCCTAAGGGGAGCGACCTCTACTCCATGGGAGCCGGGTCTCTCCCTGCTATGCTTTGTCTTCCACCTTTCCTGTGACTTCCAATCATTCCGTTCCTCTCTGTTAAGGTTCCTAGCAATCCTAACTAAGTCCCAGATTATCCCAAAAAATTATCCAAATCCATTATACATCATTTACACCAATAAAACAAGTATTCATGCAAGAAAAATTCAAGATTAAGCAATTATAATTTCATTAACATGCATACTGTTTTAATCCAATTCAACATGCATAAAAGATTAATTTAAATTCTAATTACTCCTGGAATTATTTTAGGCATGTAAAGAACACGAAGCCTAAGGGAGAGAGTTAGAAGAAGAACTTGCCTTTGAGATTTGGATTAAAATCTCAACGTCGTTTTTCTAGATTATTCGGCAATCCTTAATTGTTTTCAACTCCTCTGTTGCCCTTGGTTCAACCCATGAGCAAACTTCAATTACCCCTCCTCAGTTCAGCCCTTGTTCTTGGCCAAAACCTTAACTCGTTCTCTCCATTTTTCTCTCAAACCTCTCTGAATACGTGAATAGGGTTTTTTTTAACCCTAGGCAGACATATAATGATATATTTATAGGCTAAACATAATCTAACCCTAGTCCTAATTGCAATCCAAGTCTAACAACGGAAACGAAAAATAAAAATAAAATACAATAAAAGAAAAATAAGACTTAATAACATACATATAACATACTGTACGTGACTACATAAATAGCTTTAGTAAAATAATTTATAGTTATAGATATGCATCCTACCATCCCAGTATAATAATAATTACTCATTATAAACAAAATTCCTCTCTCTCTCTCTATATATAACTATTATATATATACATCCCTCCATGGGTTAATATTCATACCCATAAGAAATCCTATCCAAGTCCTATCTAAGTAGTCCATGTGACCCATTAGTGTGGTCCATTATTACTATCCATAAACAAACTTCTTTAAATAAAAATACAACAGTTAAATACTAACAAATACACATAAGCAGATACAAATAATTCAATTAAAGTAATTAAATTCAAATAACCAGCAAAATACATTTAACCATTAAATTAAATTAAACACATAAACAAAACATCAAATAATCAAGTAAATAAATTAAAAATTCAAATAAAAGAAATAAATAATTACCGAGACTATCCTTTTAAAATTAGGGCTATTACATTCTTCCCCCCTAACAAAAGGAATTCTGTCCTCGGAATTCGCTCTTACTTTCTTCCAATATTTCAGGAAACTGTGAGTAAATGGCATCCTCCCGTTCCTAAGTAGACTCAGCCTTATTATGGTGACTCCACTTGACACGCACTAAGGGTATAACCTTATTGCGAAGAATCTGATCCCGACAATCTATAATACGACATGGTGGCTCCATATATGTTGCATTCGGTTGCAACTCAATCTCACCAACATCGATATGCTGATACCGATCCTCATCGCGCAAAATTTTTCGCAACATGGAAACATAAAACACATTGTGCACACGATCCAAATGATCCGGATGTGCTAATCGATAAGTCACAGCTCCAACTCGATCTGTAATCATGAATGGACCGATAAACCATGGTGCCAACTTCCCTTTCTTCCCAAAACGCATTACTTGTAATACCCCTAATTTTAAAAGGATAGTCTCGGTATTTTAATTAATTGTTTTATTGTATTTTTATTTGATTAATTGTTTAATTGTTTAATTATTTAATTGAATTATTTGCTTATTTATTTATTTATTTAATTATTTAATTGAATTATTTGTTTTCATTATTATATGCTTATGTGGCAAGTTAAATAAATTATTATTTTTTGAGTAAATGTTTTAAATTAATATCATTAGTTATTATATGTATAATTATAGTTTTAGAGTTTTATATTTATGTTTATGAAATTACGTGGGTTAGGCTAGCCGACTTATAATTGGTTTGGGATTAGAA